TCATGTTACGGGCTTACTAGGGGAGGTGGGAGTGACTCAGTGAAGTCATCCAGGGTTCAGGGAGGGAGAGATCGGTCGTCATCCAGGAGGGTGTGGCAAAGGGGGGAATGACAAAGATTAATAATGAGAAATGGTGCATCGGACTGGTTTGATATCCCACCAACCGAAGTGAATTCAGACTAATGGATTATCTGTGTCAGCATGTGTTACCATGCCAACCTGCAAGATTCCGACTCTACCACAAACATTTAAAAACAGAATCCAGTGTCACATATCGTGGCTCCTGTCTCTGGGTGCACCCAGGACCAGTAGCCGCGCCCGCGGTTATCAATCTGGATCACATATTCCCATCCGTCTGGATGAGTAGTCAGAATACGATCGCCCCGCCCGATCCACGCTGTTCTTCCTGACCAACTTTCGTATGCACGAGTATATCCGCCTATTTCAACAGGTATACTGTCTCGCTTGCCTCGTCCTCCATCTTCTAAAGTCGCGGAGAGACGTCGCCATCCTCTATAAACCAACCAATAGAGTGCATACTGGACAGTGCATTGGTCTGGGCCCCAATTGGGACCCCTGGAACCTGCCTGTGGCCGTTGCCTAATCTCTCTGCTCCGGGCTCTGATGCAGACGATTCCGACGGAACAGGATCGAGAAATGACAACGAGAAGGGAACTGCAAAGGAGCACCCTACCTGGTTCAGAAGGCTCCTAGGATGGATTGAGGTTGCTTACAACGTGTCATCGTACTTTGAAAGCGCTAGGAAGAACGGCCGTGTGTCTACCAACCGATCGGGACCAACTAGCGGTTCGGAGTGGAGTATCTGGACAACTCTACAAGGTTGGTGGAGTGGCTCTTTCTAGGCGAATATGGGAGCTATGTTTTCTGGACAACATTGGTTCTACAAGTAACTGTGTGTTTTGGAATGGAAATTTTTGATATTATTTGCTTGTTATGTTGGCCCTACAGACTGATCAATCGAAAGAATTCACTTTCTACATCCATGTCACGCACCCAGGTTTCTTTCTTCCACCGTCCTATACAGACCCGAACTTTTCAGACTTGAAGATCCCTCTTGGACTCTACTCCTGGGTAGTCCTCGTAATGGAACCTCGAGAACTGCGGTTTGAAGTGATAGACTCATTAAATGAAGTTGAGTTCCAGCTTGGCAATTCTGGTAGAACCTCATTCTAAGGTCAGGGACATGACATTTTTACTTGGAATTTGGAATGCATTCAATGTGTCAAGGTATTAGCCTATCAGAACTCTCTCGATCTCCTGAGAGTGAAAAGTATACTAGCCGAAATATATCACGCATATTGAACCGTCCGCACTTCAACGACCGCGGCGGCGAAAAGTGGCACACGACCGAATATCAGAGAGATAGCGAACGTTGACGCTTTCTTCGAGGCAAACTTCTTCGGGGTAAAACAGCCGAGGGAGGGGGCAGTGGCATGTCGTCAGTGGGAGATGGCTGGCGATTTTCTGGACCTGATGGAGCCCGCAGGGCTCGAGTGTCCAAGCTCGTTGCTGCTCGTGGCGGGATGGGAGAATCATAGTAATTTTTTTTTTGCTTCAACAAAATCCGTTTCCGTTTTCGCGTCTTGCTTCCTGTTCCTGGTTCGTTGTTTGGAAGAGGTGATGTTTGATGTCCGCCGAGACGTTCCGTTTCGACATCGAACTCGGATTGAGGGACCCAGCTGGCTGCGCCCACAAGTCTCCTGCCAATCTTCAAGAGGCCCCTGTCACGCTTGAGATAGACCACAGCTTCAAGCAGCTCGCCTTTGGGTTTCACGGACATCACGAATCGCGCTTTCACGTGATTGTGGCTACTGCCTTCTGGAAACAATTCACCATGTGGGATCTCAGCCTCGATGGTACCTCTGTAATCCAGGTTCGATGGTCCGGGTGGAATCGGATATGTGATCGGACAATCCAGTCCGTTCCTTGTATTCACCTCGATGAGTTTCTCGTCGAAGTCATCACTGGTCGTGATCACTTCGGACGAAATTTTGTCATTCTCAGGCGTCGAGCTATTCCGGTAGACGGTTTTGAGGAGTTCCACGTGACTCTCGGGCCCTGCGGCTTGACCCTGACAAGGTTAGTACCGCATGACTGCACTTGCAAAACATGTATCATACCCGCAAAATCACCCAGGCCAGGGCCTTTTCCACCCTGTCGCCTTTGAATCGCCTGCCACTTCGGGAACGATCCTCCAAGTAAGTCAGGGCCAGATTGACCCGAGCTACAGTTTCTTCGGCAGGTTTTTGGGCATAGTAAAGCGCCCCCTTGGCGACAGTCTCCACCCTGGAAGGGATACATTAGACATAATTTTACCATGGGTGGTGGTGGAAAGTCGCAATAGACTTACGCGATCTCACTGGAACATTCAATCCTAGGTATTAGCCCCCGAGCCTCATCAAAAATCTTTTCGCGTACCCATTCATTCCGGCTCAGACCGCCAGTCATGACGAAGTGGGTAGGCAGGAAGCCTTTTCGGGAAGCACTGTCCGCTTGCTTCCGCAAGAGTGCTAGGGCCCTTTCGACCAATGGATTGAAGAAAGTCTCCATTTCTGCACTATCGAGGTTCCAGTTAGCATGTCACAACCCGGAAACGTGGGCTTTTGAAGGCGCCTGCGGTCCGTCCGTGACGGAAAGTACTCGAAACGCGTCGTGCGCGACCTTCGTCGCCCAAATACTCACATGTCGATCAATACTTGCTCAAAGAAGAGGTCGATCTCGACGGGTTTTTGGGCTACAAATCGTCGTTTGTGCCCATCAATCTCACGGGAGAGCTTTGCCCACCGCGAATCGTCCTTCAGATAGTCACGGTGCTTTGGATCTTTGAACCGGAGCTGCAGCGCATCACGCATAGCCTCATTGATCATCTGACTACCTCCGTTGTATCCTACTCGCATGTTAGCACGGCGCCCTCGTGGGGGAGGTACGCTGGGGCTCTCACCACCCGCAGGACAGACCAGCTTGGCTCGTTCTTCCTCGTCAAAGTGTAGCGTCGCGGCATCCTGTGATCAAAGTCAGCCAAAGGCAGGTATTACTGATGGCTCTTCGCGTTATACCATGCTTCCCCCGCCACCATCGAGTATCAAGAGGGTTTTCGAGCCCGACAAGCCGGGCATGGTTTCGGAATCGATGAAATAGCCCGCCGCCACGGGCTCCGAAACCCCATCTACCTCGTCGAATCCCACATTCTTTGCCGCATCGACGAGGATCAATCGGAGCCATGCATTGTATTGCACCGGGTATGTCACCCGGCAATGCTTCGGGATTTCGTCGAAACTCCGATCACCGCAGTAGCGGTCGCGTTCCGGGGTCTTGAGGAATTGTCCCTTTAACGTTTCCATGATATACAAGAAAGTCTTCTCGTACAAGTCCCCTAGGGTCACATCCAGCCCATGTTGCTCCTTGACTCCACACAGAGCGTGCTCGAGTAGTTTCGTGTGCGGCTGTTGGCCCATGGCCGCCAATTTGGGGCTTTCGAAAATGACGACCTGAGGTCGGTACCGCGCATCTTCCCCATGATGCCATCTGTCCGGCGCGCATCCGAGAAGGGCCTCTAATTCCTCGTTGGTCTTGGCGTTGTCATTGGAAGGGAACTTCAGAGTGTAGGACTCCGCACTATCCGACCATTTCCAGCAGACCACATTGCTGGTGGTCCCAATGTCCACCGCAACGATCAGTTTCGAGGGCTCCTGATTCATGGTGTGTTGGGAATGCCGCTGTCGGGTGCGGTGCCGGACCCCGGTCGCCGCGGTAAAACAAACGACCCGTACACTCGAGCGATGTTGTGTAAATTATGTAATCAACTGTCGTTTTATGGGGACCAGTCAGGTGGGTTATGACATGTCCATATTAGACAATGTTTTTGGGTAGTGTGGACGCGCGACGCGGGTACCGCCGCATCTTATCCGGCTAATGACGTCGAAGCTGTTGGAATGAATACTAGGCATACCCCAGGAATATACACATATAGCTCTGCCAAATCAATTGTGAATAGAGTCCGTTTGGCGACGCCAAGCTATACGGATATTGAGAGAATAGACCATTTCCATCACTATTCCAAAGAAAGCGGGGTAACTAAATGCTACGAATTGCTCCAAAGAGGGACAGACGCGTTTGGCTTTCTGACGCGTCGCCAAGTCACGTGGTGATAAGAACGTCCTATCTGTAGCTTTCAGCAATCGCTGCTACGGAAACACTACCGGAACTTCTATTCGGTACACCCGGGCATACTTGGAATCCTTCAAATCTGTGGTAAAGGCTCGTGTCAGATGGGTGAGTAGTACACGGTTTGCGTTGATCGTCCTGCGGAACGACCAAGCGGAAAGCGGCCGGTGATGGTTACTTTTGATGGCTGCATATTTCGAATAACCGGAATGTACTCCCGTGCTGTGGATTAATAGAGCAATTGAAAGGATCTCACCGCGTTGGCTTCGGTGGGGTTGGGGTTGTTTGACCGCTTGGCTTCGACAGTCACGACGCGATTTCAACGCGTTGCCCCCGTATGTACATATATCACACATTTACAATCTGTGTTGGATGATTTTCTTAGCCTGGCCAACATGTTCTCAAAATAAATCGAGGTATTGTGGCCCGATATAGGTCAATCAACGTAGGCACAGTGCAAAATTGGTTTGAACGGGCAATGTTTCACCGCTCGGGCCAAGCCTCATTAAGGCAGGATGGAGTGTTCGCTTACGTACTAGCAGCAAGACTGTTCATAATACCCGGTGAACGTCATTATACGAGCGGTCCAAGGAATATGCCTTTTCCTCTCAAGCTCTATATACTACAACCCCAAATGCATTTTAACTAGGACAAGCCTGCACGCGATTTTGCTGCCGCTGGTCGAGGCCAACACTCAAGTGCTAGAATGATGGACTAACTTTCAAATCACGGTACGTACAATCTTCGATGTACAAAGCCCTCATCACTCACCATACCTCTAGAGATTGTCATCTGGATTTAATTACTGAAATGTTATGGATGGAGTTCCCAGATATGCCCACGCCACCGCCTGTCTTCCAGCCTGCCATGACAGTCTTTGCCATCTACCTTGCTTCCCATTATCCACGGAAACAACAATCGGCCATCTCCCGCGAATTGAGTACTGTTTCTATCCTAGCTTAAACAGCGTGTATTTTCTAGGGTGGACAGGTCCGGACATATTGTCACCATCTACCTGCGCCGACGACATCTTCTTCCACTTGTCTACTTTCCACCTCCCGAACAAAGTAGACTGGGCAGACATCCGGCTCTACGTTTTGAGCAACGTGACAGATGAATTGGTGGCTGTGTGCCCATTTTTCCTTCCACGAGTCGAATCAATGCTGGGAAACCTGCCCCGCGTCCGTAAGCTGGTGCAGGATATGATCGCAAGTCACGATGTGGGTGAGCTACGTTTCCGACTATCTATCCGGCCCCGCTACCGAGAAGAACCGGATTTTCAGGGCGCAAGGAGGACACTCGATTCGGACATCCGCCCAGTTGTGCCTCTCTCGCCTCGTGATCCATATTTGTTTGTGGGAAATGTTGTGGAGGATTTCGTAAGATACGACATGAGACCTATCAGGTGACAAGCCATGATGCTATGGCAATGTCCTCAATGCCGTACAGGGGGTGCCTCAGCACCGTTGGGGCCATTGATCGTATATCCGCACACCTACAGTGTGCTTCTGGCACAGTCTTGTGTTTGTCTCTCATATTCCAGCGTCCCCCATGGGTCCCTCATATGAAGTCCTGACAAATGAGTACTTAAGATACAATCCCCATCACGCTTTGTGACTACGAACGACTGTAAGACAGACTATGGGCATCTCATCTATTACCCACTGCCCCATATTATGGGCCAAGATGTAATGTTCCTTTCGGCTTCTCTTTGCAGGTATGAAGGTTTGTAATTCAAACCAAAATAATCAGTATCCCCATATCTACCTGATCTCGGTCAATGGTCGACCCACCTATATTTCTGTCCTGGGACATTGCTTTCCAGAATGCTTCCGAGGCCTTCTGTGCCGTTGTCCACGTGATCGTAAGTCCAGGGTTGTTCGACCAGTGGTGACGTGTGAAGGGCGGTATGTTGTGGCATCTCTTGCTTCCGCTCACTGTCGTGAACGACCCGTCTTGAAACCCGGACCAAGGAGTCTAACATCTACGTGAGAAAACCTATTAGAAAGTGGCACAGGAAGACCCATGGCACGCCATTTAGCATATTTTCCATATACCAGATGATGTAAACAATCATTATAGAGATATCTAGCTGTTTCTGTTCTTCGGGACGAGGGAAGCGTTTAGACAAAGTACGTTTGAACACAAGCGTTTAAGTGAGAACATTTAAACAAAAACAGCACAAGGGTTGATGTGAGAAAGTTTATGTTGAAACGGTCAGCCCGCTCTTTAAAGGTCACATGTATCGGTGGATAAGCGCTAAATAAGACCCGAATAGTTCATCGCCGTCACCAAAATATAGTATGGATCAACATCAGCTATTCAGCCTGTTGAACCAACCGGCTTAAGGCGTGGCGGAACCAGAAGTCGAGACTACAAGCTGAATGGAAGCGGCTTTCTTGCAGTCAAGGGCGATGGAATTAGAGTGATCGACATTGCTCTCAGTGCACCGGATGCTAACCTCGAATCGATTCTCAACAACCACGCAGGCTGGGCTCCTCGGCCTGAGATATCTACCATCAGATGCGATGATATGCGCCATCTTCGAATCATCCGTCATGTGAGCGACTTTGATCCCTGGTTTCATTCATATATACTGATTTGACAGGCTTGGAAATGTCGTGCCATCATTCCGATGAATTGAACTGGGGCTGGATCCTAAATCTATACCCAACCATTTGCTCCGCAGGATTCCTGGGTCCATCTAGCTTCTCGGTAGAATCAGGACTGACTATACATCAAGATCCTTTTGCGTATTTCATTCGCGCGACCTATATTCCATTTGATACGATGAAAAGCATCGCGTTCAATATCAATCCTGGCCGACTCGGAATCAATCAGATCACAGTCAAGGATCCAATATCAAGCAAACAAAGTCTGGTGATTCATTTCCCAAAACCCCCAGCAGAATTGCGGTTCTTCTCTGTGGTGTAGGAATTGGCCATCGCGATACATTTCAATATCCAGTTTTTCAGGTATGACGTGTATCATAGGCAGTCTATCATCTTCGGCTAACCATACCTAGTTCCCAATCGATGGTTAGTGGCAACTACCCCTTCTAGATTCCTGCGCTGTTCTACGTCAACCCGTCTTAGTCAAAAATATCTTGGGAACTTGGTGGGGTGATAGCTTTCCACTTATCCCTATCCGTATTGGTATCGCTGTCTCAAATAAGGCGGCCCTTGAGCACACGGCAGATGAAGAAGAGATGGGGTTGCCGCCCTTATCGGTAACTTTAGAATAGTCAAAATCTACGAACAGCGAACCTTGGAAGAAGTTCGGTATCAAATGTCAGGAACAGCGACAAGTCCTCTGATCCCTGGAGTCTAGAGTCGTGTATCCAGGCCTCTAGCATAATACAAAACCAACGCCCGGACGTGGATGAGCAAGGCCTGGTTCACAACCTCGGCCGTCTCACAGTCCTTGTGTCTGTGTCCTAGTCATACCTATCTGGCTAATTAGCACTTGGATATTTGCCATGGGGTAGCAGCGGAAACAGTGCAGCTGGGTAATCATACAGTCTGTATAGTGGCTCGGGGGAGTATATATAGATAACCTGCTCGCGGGTTGATTTAGCTATCCGGCGGCGGAATGGCTTTATGGGTTCGGTAGCGTGCGGACACCCTTCTCCAGACCCTGTGCCAACTTGGGGAGTCCAAAATCTGGAACTCGATAGTTAAACATTTCAGAAGAAGTAGCTCTCCATCCAGGTATCTAAACAACGAGGAACTCGTTGTCTGAGTGTCACATTTTGATTTGTTGGTTGGCTTATACCCATGGTGGTGTAAGGTTGAGTAAGAGAGTTGGACGAGGCGTTTTGGAAAGTAGTGAACCAAGCAAGTGGCTGTTTTGGTCGAGCGGTTGGTTTTACGAGGCGCTGATCCCAAACGACTTTAAAAGGGGTGGGCGAGCTTATAGAAGCTATTCTGTGTTAGCGTACCCTCTGACTCTTCTCCTCCAACTCTTCAATATGTGAGTTTTGAGAGTCAGCCTCATGGAATCTGCGGATCATCGATGCCTGATAGAAAAGATCTTGCGATTCCTAGCCAACCTTTTTTGCGCTGCGACGCATCTTCTATCCGGTTTAACTCAAGCTCAACGTCGGGCTCGGTCGGATAAGATGCCCTCAAAGGAGAGTGGGAAGCTATTTCAAACAAAAAAGAATAAAATTGGCCGAGTATATGACTTTATATTTTGAAGGTCAATCGTACAATATCATCGACATGGACGGCAAACCCCACTTGATAAATGCTCCTGATAATATTCCCGATAGTGAACAGACGCGAAATGTTTCAGCGGGTAATGTCTGCTGCATTATTCTAGCAAAAGTGAAATTGGAGAAAGGACACCACGCCGTTTGAACACGAATAAGTGAACATATCATTCAGAGATCTATTTATGGTGACGGGTGGCATCCCTATGACCATAGCGGAAGTACAGCTGCTCTCCCCCTACACTGCTCCTTACATGTTCTTAAGCTCCCTGGTTGAGCTTCAAATATATGTTCTCTTCCGGCAAGTTCCGGCAAGTTATCTAGAATGACAAGGAAGATATTTAAAATGCAACAAGAAAGATAATCATTTGGCCTCTGTATTCTTTGGTTCTCGTGGCATTGATACTTGCTACAAAACCTTCAGGCGACCACCCGTTGCGACATGATCTGAAATGTTCCGATGAGTTTTAATGAGGTCTGCACCACTCACCCAAGGCCTCACTGTAGCGTTATCTCCAAGTTCCCCCAAACTTGGACCAATCGCGATGCGAGGGCATTCACACAGTATCGATCGTCTTTGTAGCGTTGTCTTCGAGCCCATTCATCTTAAAAAATAGCATGCGAAGTGGTCCCAGACTTGAGACGATAGAAACAACACAGAATTCAACGCTGACTCGCAAGTGTTAGCTATGCTTTACTGACTCAGATCAGCTATCTTACTTTGTCCATATTACCAAGCTGGCTGTTGTGTCTAATGAAAGTCAGCTTACCTTCAGTGAGTAGGAAAATTGACAGACGGAGTATATTGGATGCAAATGAATCAAGAGATAAAAAGCAAAGACTCACAAGTCAAATCATACCCAACGGCAAATTTCTTGAGCTCCATGCATTTTGTAATCACCACTGGTACAGAACTATCGTCTCTCGTTAGCTTCCAAGTTTTTTCCAGGTTTTTTGTGCTGAAAATAGATTCACGCTGACTAACTTACAGAGCAATTGAACAACACAATGTACATCCGATCAGCCTTTTTTTGAGAGGAGCCGTCCGTGTCCACACGACCGTCATTGAATAGCCAGAAAGGTAAACAAAGAGTAGAATCGATAGCACTGTGGCTCGTTAATTGACACATATCCGCTTTTAGAAGGAAAGAGATACATAGCACCTACCCCCATCAGCCATTCCCAGCTTTGGCAACATGCGAGATGGAAGGGAGGTGATTCCCAAAAGCACGATCCAGAGAAGGGAAATTACAGATCCAATAGCCATCAGTAGTATGGAACTTACTCTGAAGATTTTGATATCCACTGCCCGGTGTAGTAATAGTGTCACCGAGACTTTGCAGAAGATTGTAGAGATGTTCCCCCAGAGCAGAGAATGTATCAATTCAGAAGTTGTTCTCCTGTATTCCTCCTGGCTGAGTTGAACTTCGTGCTGCCCGTAACCTGCGCTTATAGCCATAGTGATTTTACCACAGTAAACAGTTGCCGCAATCTTGTGTGAGGGGTTAGATGTCTCGTGCTCCAGCCTCAGTGAGTGAATAACTAACTGCAGACGCCAGGATGGCGATATCCTCCGTGTAGAGACACTTTTCTGTGAAACTCCTACAGGTCCTGAACCCGATAACAATAAGTGCGAAACTTGTAGAGACCCAAAGAGATATCAAAATTGCCGGTCCGCGTTCATCAGATATGTGGTTTGCTAGGAGTGTCATTTTTGAGGCGAGAGTGGATAAAGTTGAAGCTGAAACCAGACGTCTGCTCTGTTGTAAACGAACCCCTTGGAGAATGAGAAATGCGATGATGAAGTCCAGGAAGTCAGCTCGCTCATGTATGACACTCCTTTAAATACACTTATCAACCCGAGTGTTTCATTAGTCGATATAAGCAGGTGATATTATCGAACAACTAGTAAAAGCGGCGAACTTCAATATAGAGTTACAAGTTTGCTCCATTTCGCTTAATATATCAATAAACCACAACCGCACCTGTATGCATAAAACCATTACTTTTTCATTCGTCGAGTTACATTCAGGGATGAACAAATCGCTTCAATTCTATATTTTGGTAGACTATTCTATCTCTATAGACTGTTCTTATAAGGGGACACTATAAGGTACATAGCTCCCACTACCTCAGAATCATCAGGCTGTTCAACCGGGCTTTATTACAGGAACTTGCTAGGTTCGGAGTCAATGG